CGTGGAAAAGGCTTTTGATAAAATACAACATTCATTCATGTTAAAAGCTCTGGATAAAATAGGAATAGAAAGAACATTCCTTACAACAATAAAAGCCATATACAACAGACCAATAGCCAATATTATACTAAACGGGAAAAACCTACAATTCTCCTAAAATCAGGAACAAGGTAAGAATGCCCACTCTCTCCACTTCTCTTCAATATAGTTCTGGAATCCTTAGCCAGTGCAATAAGGCAAGAAAAGGACATTAAAGGGATCTGCATAGGGAAGGAAGAAATTAAACTATCCCTATTTGCAGATGACATGATACTATACTTTAACGATCTCCCAAACTCTACTCCCAAACTCCTAGAGCTTATAAACCACTTTGGCAAGGTAGCAGGATACAAAATCAACCCACAAAAATCAGTTGCCTTCGGTACACCAACAATGTACAAGCAGAAAGGGAAATCAAGGAAACAACCCCATTCACAATAACCTCAAAAAAATATCTAGGAATTAACCTAAGCAAAGTTGTAAAGAAACTATTTAGAGAAAATTACAAAAGCCTAAAGAAAGAAATCATAGAAGACACCAGGAAATGGAAAGACCTTCCATGTTCTTGGATAGGCAGAGTGAAAATGGCCATACTACCAAATATGATATACAAATTCAATGCCATTCCCATCAAAATCCCAATGACATTCTTTACTGAAATAGAGAAAACAATCCAAAAATTCATATGGAACAACAAAAGACCTAGAATACCCAAAGCAATTCTAGGCAAAAGAAACAACAGGGGAGGGACCACAATACCAGAAACTGAAACTACTGGACAGACCTTAAAGACACAGGCAGGAATTTCCTGAACAGAGTCCCAGGGTCACAACAAATTGGAGACAGACTCGACAAATGGGACTACCTTGAAATAAGTCTGCACAGCTAAAGACATAGCTACTAAACTAGAAAGACAGCCAACTAATTGGGAAAAAATATTTACTAGCAATATACCAGACAAGGGCCTAATATCCATTATGTACAAGGAACTACTCAAGAAACTAATCCCTACCAAATCTAACAAACCAAACATGAAATGGGCAAGGGAGCTAAAGAGAGACTTTTCAGAAGAGATAAAAGTGGCAAAGAAACACATGAGGAGGGGCTGGGAAGGTGGCTCAGTGGTAGAGTGCTTGCCTTGCATGCCTGAGGCCCTGGGTTCGATTCCCAGCACCACATAAGCAAAAAGAAAAAAGCTGGAAGTGGCGCTGTGGCTCAAGTGGTAGAGC